CTTTAACGAAGTTAAAGTTTACCCAGTCAAAGTCTAAACTGTGTTCATTCACATACAGCACTGTTTTTACAGTTTACAGTTTATAAAACATCCTGGTGGTAATGACTTCTCAGCTTCATTCTTTTCTTTAATAACTACATGATGCATAAATAAATATATTAGACTGATTCACTGCTTTGAACTCCAGCATTATACATGTTGTGTACTTTAAGGCACTGCATTACATTCACATGCCATAAGATCTGGATTTGCTCCATTCCAGTATATGTAACATTAGTCTACAGATCACTGGGACTGTGTATTCCAGTGTGTATTATGTTCCCCGACTGCCCTGAGCTGACCCACAGGGTATGTAATCTGTTGTCCAAGACAGCATCATGAACCTTTAACAGCCTCAGGCTAAGCTGCTTTCCCACCGTGTATGAAAAGTGACATCAGACCCTCCCCCCAGGCACTGACAGCAAACTGTCCAGGGCTCAGCATGTACCAGCACAGGACTTGTTTAACTAGTGTGCTGGGTCAGAGAGTGGATTAGCAGGGAACTGGGCACTAACATGAGCATCTCAGTGTGGACTCATACTGCCATCTTGTGGCTGAAGTGTGGATGTGTACAATAATGACAACATTTTGTTCAGGCCAAGCCCCAGAAGTTGAGGAAGAAGACAGCAAGTGCCTCAGGACTCAGTTCAGGTTCCACAGAGACAGAGAGATACCAGGCCACAGGAGCATGAAGTAAGAGAAAAGATCCTCACACTGCACTGTGCTCGCAGATCCAACAGACCTTCTCTGGACGGCATCAGAAAAAAAAGCCATTCCGATGAAAACTGCACAGTGAGCATTGTGCAGCTTTAGCTCTAAATGTCACTCTTTTACTCATCCAGCAAAAAATTCAATATTAAAGGTGTCATGACCAAAACAACCATTTATTATCGTTGGAACAAAAGTATGTTTTCTGAGAATGATTAATGAAGCTTAATCTTCTTTTACAGATTTTAATATGAATACATTTTGAGTTCAGCTGTCAATATACATTTTGTCCCAGTGCTTCTTTTGCACTTTTTCTATGTATTTTTCTCTGTAGTCATCTAATTTCTTTCTGGATAATCCATGTGATACATGTTTTAGATTGATTGAGTTTATCAGCTTTAATATGCTCTTTCATAACACTTTTGTATTTTGTCCCTTTCCATAGAGCCATGTTTTTTCCCCGGTGTGAGACAGTGTTATCTAGCTCTGCTCTGATTGGCCCATTCTGAGATTCTCAATCACCTAATTGATATATTTATTTTGTTAATATAAACTATCTATTCTGTTTGAAGTCTGATTAATTCTGTTGCTCTGGTAAATTAACTTTTCTAGGAGCTGCAGTATCAGTGCAGTTGGCAGATTTCAGTTTGTTGATCCAGCACCTGCTGTCCGCCCTACATCCTGTTTGTCTCAAGTGCATGAGGTGGGACATGGAAGTGCCTTTTGCCTTTTTTTCCTATTGGAGAAAGAGCTGGATTGACTGATAGAGAGAGAAAAGGGCATTCCAGGGGAGTATAAGCACTAGAGGGGTTCAGCTGACAGAAGAGAGTTTGTTAACTTGTTTACCAACGAGGAAACACTTGACTGCGGTATAGTGATTAATTATTTTATTATTTTATTATTAATCATAATTATCTGTACAGTTTTTATGTTAGCTGACAACCTTGGTTGTATTTCATTGTTAAAATATGCAACATCACACCACACAACAAACACAGACCCAGGTACTCTGGTGTACTGTGGCATCTGAGGCGACATATTTATTCATCTTTGTTATTGATGGTGCTGTCTATTGACATCATCCAAGTGGCTTTAAAGTGAGAGTTGTTCAGTTGTTACGTTTCACATACAAACCAGAGGGTGAAGCTGTTTCATCAGATGTGGCTGCGTTGCATTAGCAGACAGTTAGACCTGCAATCTAATAATCTATGACTGGTTCATGATTAAAATAATCATCTGAGTTCTGAGACATTCAGTGAGTTAGTGTGAGGCATCGTTTCTTGTGAATGGAGAGGCAGCAATCACCAGTGACCACCTTCAGTTTACTGATTCATTTATCCACTGCACTTATTTGCTGCAGTCATTTGGGGCAACTTGCTGGGACAAAACTCTATTTAGGCTGTAATCTGCTATTTTGTTAGATTGTTAATTAGGCCTATTTTATTTTCTCTTCACTTTGATTTTGCACTGAAACTGTTTCCCTTGCTCATATTAAGCTACGTATATAAATAGCTTTTGTTTGAAAAATTATATACAAATCAAATTTTCCTTATTTACAGTAGACAGACCCCACCGATCCCTGCTGCAGCAGTTAGGTTCATATGTTTGTGGACTGATTTATTTCATATGAATGTAGAAAAGCTGCAAAATCAGTTAGAGTGATATTCTGTTAGAATGGCGTTAATTACTAATTCAATGTGACTTTGTTTTAAATCAGTACTTTTTTAATTCCTTCACTGTTTATTTTTAATATTTGTATTATGATGAAACTATTTTCTCTTTTTACACCCTAAATAACAAGCAGTTACTGTAAGACAAAGTGAAAACGACATTAACTAAAACCAACAGACGTGCAGCCTGCAGGGCAAAGCTCCTAGATACAGACCGTTCATTACATTATCACGGGTGACTGGTTTAGTACAAGGTCTCATGTCTGTGAGACCTGGGTGAACGCAGATTTCTCTTTTGATTTGCACTTAATATTTGAATTAAACCACAGTTTAGAAGAAATCACGCCCACTTCCGTATTACGAGAACTTGACGGAAGACTGAGGCCCCTCCCCATCCCTAACTAATACGGAAGTAGGCGTGTTTTAATCTCAACTTGGTTCGAAAAAAGTTTCCTGCGGGAACGACTGAAAAGTTGTTTCACGGTGAAGCCGTGTATTTTAGGTTAACACCACAGTGTTATGTCAGTTCAGACCACAGACTGTATTTAAAACGTTTCAGAACGAAACGTGTTATGTCGCTGCTGTTTTCCCGGGGGTGGCTCCGTTTGACCGAAACTCCTCCCTCCTGACATGTTTCCCAGCATGCCCTGCAACCCAGTACGTGTCTTACATTGGACATTCTCAGCGTTTTAAGACAGCGATAACATGTTGATCTGTCTTTCTATGAATGTTGTTTGGGGATGTTTGAGTACTCTACAAAATTGGTTCGGAGTCTCCCGGTCCGATTCCACCACCATGTGTGTGACATCAACATCACAGTAGGGCTATAAATAACCGGGAACTGTAGGTGAAGTACTGGCTGGTCCGATGGCGGTGAGATTTCAATTGATTGCTACAGTGAGTTACAGAACCTCTACGTTTCTTCTCTCCCCTCCCTCACCGCCGGCTTCGACTAGCCTTTTCTCTGTTTAAGCTCTTACGCTTCACGTTAGCCAAGCAGAACATACGGTAATCACTGTGAGACGTATAAAGACCTTCAAACGTGCAGATCGGTCAACGGGTAATAAATCGCTGACACTCATCATCGGCGAGATCACATCATTTTAAATTCACTCACAGTTTTTTTATAAAGTGATCAGCTGTCCGTCATGTCATCTACTTTGAGCTGCTCCTAATTGTGTTTAATTGCTAATAGTTGTACAGCTCATGTACAGTACTGTTTCTTTAATGCTGTGTTTCTATATTTGTCTCAGTCACAGTGAATTAATCCACAAATACTGTGTATTTGTCACCTGAACTTAAATATAAGACAAACACATGAGTTAGAATGACAGAGCAACAGCAAATGTACTAAGTTTGTGGATATTTTCTAATTCCACTTATCAATGTGACCCATAAAGAGTCTGGATGTTTTACTGCTGATACAGAGATCTTTGACTAAAGGAAAATTTTTGAATAAACTGTCAATTTAATGTTTCCTTTCAGATTGACAAGACCATACACCTCCACAACATAATTTTTGATGATTAGCCAATTACAGTAATAGACTTTAAAATTAACACCATCTCACAGCCACACTTTTTTTCTGGATAAAATCTATATTTTGCATGTTTCAGTTCTCTGCTGATCACTGTGTGCACTGGTTGATAGATTTAGAGACTAGTTTTGTGTCATTTTCTCATACGTTTAAAATATATTATAAAATATAATAAATATATTATAAATATAATATTTAAAAATAAGAATATTATATCAATGTTATTGGTTATGTATTAGGAAACTTTTGTGTCATGGTACTGTTAAAGCCTGTCACATTATTTAAATAGTAATGGCCAACAACAGAATACATTAGTGAATTTTGGGGATTGTGAAAGTCTCAAAAGTAAAATGCAGTGAAAACAAATGAATTTAAAAAGTACATAAATCTCAAATCTTCCATGAAGAAATGTGTTCTTGTCTAAGTAAATACACACACATAAATGTTCAGGTGAGAAAAGTCACCAGCTGATATCTCGATCTCAAAGAAAGGGGGAGTTCATGGTTGCTGAGATATTATCTAAAACATTTTGCTATATTTGTTAGCTGATTTCTCACCATATGACAGTGCTATCACTACTAATTTAATGTAGTTGAAGTTCTTAAGTATGAGGAACTGTTCACCAAACTCCTTGTAGTATTGTAGTCTTTGTAGTTTTTGACCATTCATCATTCAATCATTGTTTCGTAAAATTTTTGCTCATTTTTTCCCCTTAGAAAACCATCCAAAGAAAAAGTGTCATTAAAACATCAAGTGTAGTGCACCCAATCAGTGCACTGTACACATATCAGTACACTGTAAGATATAAGTACGGAGCACCAGTTAATAATCTGAGAGGCAGTAAACCATGTTACATTCACTGGTCAGGCCTTTCAGCCAGATTCATCTGTGATAAAGATGTTTACCACAGCTGCAGTTTAAATTATGGTCACACAAATATTGGCCACATTCTTCTTGATGACATAAAACATATGATCTGAGCCCCCAGTGTGACAAAACAAGTTCAACCACAACACTTATTTGTCAAAAAAAACCCACATCACGAAGAAGGTTATGAAGTTTATTAGAAATACCAGCCAGATTGGAATCATACAAAAGCAGCACTGAATGCCTGTTTCAGAAGATTCCACATCCACATCATTTACAAGGTCATCCTACCCCCCCTACCCCCAACCATTAAACCTGTCCATCCAAAAAGACAACTGACTACAAATCTGCGTCCATTTTCTTTCACAGCAATCCCAGTTTGTATTCCACCATCATGTGAGGCTCACCCATCATTTCGCTCTGGGCTGGATCTGAAAGGTGACAGACACAAACACAGGGTGGTGATCAGATTTTATACTCAGTCAGTTCAGTCTGAGATGGTTTAAACAGGTTGATGTTCTCACCATTGAGGATGTCCTCAAAGCCAATGGATTCATCGCTGCCTCGCAGTGTATCCAGAGCCAAGTTTGAACTCTGTAAGAATGGTAGGCGCTGGATCTAGAGGGAGGAAGGACAGACATCCAGACTTAGGACTGACTTGGGGAATAAACATAAAAACATCTGAAAAGGGAGAGGAAAGGAGGGGGGCTTGTCGGAGCTGAGACATGCAGTCACCTGTCTGGCTGCCCGGTACTCCATCTGCAGTTTGAGTGGAGCATGAAGACCCTGGATGTTTCTGAGAGTTGAGAAATTCATCTTGTCCTGGTTCAGCTGGAACTGTACACCACAGATACACACAACACTTGTCAGTCACCCGGGAACACATTCATTCATTCAACATCTCCGCCATTAAACCTTCATTTCCTACTTTGCTGTCCATGATAAAATCAAGGTCACTGAGAGCCGGGCTACTGATCGGCTTTTAACAGATTAAATGGGGCCCATCTGTTGTATAACTGGAAGTAAAGACATAAATGAATGTGAATGTACAGGTAATTCTGTTTTATTGTTTTGAAAAAATTCATATTTTCTGAATGTTTTCCTTATACATGGCTTTTTTGTAGAATTTAAAATGAACACAGAATCCTGAAAAGCTAAGATACATTACAGTATTATGAAGATGTGTTGTGTGACATGTTATGGTTGATAAAAAGAACAGGTGTGATTAACACCATTAATTATGGTTGTACTGCAGTTACGGGCAATGCTCAATGGACATCTGGATGTAGCAGAGCCATTGTCAGCCTTATTGTGTGTTTCCTAATATAACAGGTACAAATATGTGCCATGAAAACAAACCTATAGTGTGCAGTTTTTACAAAACTTGTGTGCACCCATGGAAGTTATTCCCACCAGTGTGGTTCACCAGTTTTATCACCAGTTGACGGCAACATTAAAAGCCCTGAAAAATCTCAAAAGATGTTTGTAGTAGTTGTGGCCAGCTGAAGGTAGACGGTGGGCAGGTCACCAACCTCACTGCACTAAAACGCATTATAAAGGTGGAAGTTAAGGCCCCAGCAGGTGCATTAAAGCCATCACCAGAGGTCTGACCAGGCAGAATGAGTGAACACAATGATGTGTGTGGACAGGAGCCTTTAACATTTGGTTCATTCATTTATCTCTTACAAAAAATACTCAGAATTACTCACGTTCTTTTCTGATAACTCCAGTGGGTGGCTGGGAAGGAGCTCATTCTTGACACTGGTAAAGCTGCTCAGAAACAGCAACAACAAGAAGAAGATGCCATGTTCATTTAATGTGCTTCAGAGTTGTACGACTAGTAGAGTATTATGGGATGACAAAAAAAATTCTATTACAAGCAAGTGAATTAACACTGACACATAAAGTGAAAAGTAAATGCAATGTCTTACATCAAGTTTTGACAATGCAGTGTCAATTTAACCAGCATTGAAATCAAAGACACAGTCTGTATTAGGGCTTAACATTTAATCAAAATATAATCAAAATTGCATTATGGCCAAGTGGAATATCCAAATCGCAGGAGCTGCAAAAAAAAAAAAAAATTTTTTTGGACAAAAGGTAAAATGTGTCACAACATTGTTCAGCTTAGTCAGCATCATAAGCGGTGGTACAGAGACGCTCCGCCCTACAAATCAATGGTCATATTCTCCAGACGTAATGGAACATGCTTGTTTGATACAAGACCAGACACAAATCACATCATCATTATTTTAAAAAATGAATGAAAAAAAAATCCGTGGAGATGAAATGCAAAAACGACCATTCCAAATTAAATCACATATCTCAACCGCAGTCGTGTCAAAATGAACGCAATATGATTCTTTTGCATATCGTGCAACCATTGTCTGTATGAACATTAGACATTTTAATCATATAAAGAAATAATTATTCATCTCGAGATTAAAGCCTTACCCGCCCCGCAGAGAGTCCTGGACTCCATACTGTCCCTGTGGACAGAGACCGGCCACAGGTACGCTGTCTTTCAGCTGAGAGCGGAGTCCCCGAGTGTTCTGTCAGGTACAGACGACAGACAGCATCAACATTTACTCACATTAAATCTTAATAAATGAATCACAGGCGCCGAGAATTGACTTTATCTAACTCCCTCACTCACGGCGGCGCTAACTAGCATTAGCCGAGTGACTAATCAAATCCCGCACCATACACTCAGCAACGAATAGGAGAGAGGAGAAAGGTACGGAGGCCTGAAACAAATTCCAGTATATCCACACAAAAAATGAAACGAAATGAATGAACAAAATTTTAGAAAATGATGGTAAATGGAGATGATATAAGTGTCACCGTACCATTGTGATTCAGTCTCTTCCACTTTCTTTTGGATCCGCTTAAACTTCCGGTAAAGTCGCGTTCTCACTGCGACACATCCGGTATGAGCCGGAAGAAAAGTTTTACTGGCAGATGAAGATTCAAAGGTATATAACACTGATGTATAAGTGAGTGTAGTTTGTTTGTTTTTAGCTACAGAGTAATATACAGCACACTTTTATAATTGTATCACTTTTACCAACATAGAAACACCAACAGTGTTTGAGATATCGGTTAAGAATATGTTCGCTCTCAGTTAAAGTTAGCGGGGGTATAGCTCAGTGGTAGAGCATTTGACTGCAGATCAAGAGGTCCCCGGTTCAAATCCGGGTGCCCCCTCATTTTCTGTACGTTGTTTTGAACCCTCAGTTTCACTTATGCAATTAAACTCAAACTTTTGTATTTCTTTTGTACTCAATAATGACAAAATGAGAATAAGTTTTCTGTCATTTTTGAATATTTATTAAAATCAATTCCTAAAAATACTTATAATTCACAAAAGTATTCAGTTAATTCAGTACTTTGTAGAAGCCACTATTGAATTAATTACACCTTTGAGTCTTCTGTAAGTCTCTACAAGCTTTGCACACTTGGACTGGCACAGTTTTCTGTGAATCTTTGTCCTCATGCTCTGAGAGTCCTTCAAATGCTGTTTGGCGCTGGCACAATTGTATTTCAGAGAACACACAAGAACTGCCTGTTCACTTGTAGGCTCCCTTTAGATTTCCCACATACGCACGTCTACTCATCGAACAAGTGAGAGAGAGAGAGAGATTGATTCGTGTATGTTAGCACTAAAGTTATGACACAACACCACCATAAAGACTAGCCTACCACATACATGACAAAGAGCAACCAAATTCAAGACCTATAATGTTAGTGAGTGGATGTAGGCAAAAAAGACCTGTTGTTACAATTTTATTTTCAAGATAGGATGTTAAAAAAAACAAAAGAAATCATTTAAAAATATGTTTACACAGTGCGCACAGGATTACAGTTGCCGGCGCCAATGGGCTGTCATATGCCTTTTACTCCTTCTAACCCAAGGGCCTAGGTTTGATCTCAACATAAGGACACAACAACCCCGCTACCCCTCCAAACAAAGAGGACTTGTTAATGCTGTCAGCCTAATGGTTTATTAACATATAAGATCTGAATTTATATTCAGAAATATATTTATATTAAAATAAAACTGTGCAGTATCAGATGAAAGACTAAAACTTTAGGAAATTATCATGTGTTAATTTACAAGTTAACATCAGAATAGGTGGAAAATGGTTATGTTAAATATAAATTACTAATTTACAATTAATCCATAATAGTGTATATTTCATCACACTATGATTTTAAAACCTCACCTTAAACCCTGAAGATGAACCTGTTTCCTTCAGCCTGCCCTACTTCTCTGGTGTGTTGCTGTTCCAGCATACAAAATAACTCGTAATAACTAATAAATGATCATATAGTTAAATTAACAACTGTCTAAAACAATCATAGTAAAAACTGAACATTATAATCTTCATGAAGGAGGACACTGTTGTATTAGACTACATCAGTTTTAGCTGGATGTTTCTAATAAACTCACAACTGCATATTAGTAATTATCAGTTGTATGCACAGACTGCAAAGTGCCTGACTGGAATTGATTGGTTGATTTTGCTGCAGTTCTCACCTGGGAACTGATTCACCTGGCAGCCTAAAGATGCTCTTTAATTTGATAGTTTTATCATATTATATTATTATTATCACCATATAACATGTTTTACCTCTGCCCTTAAAATGCAATGCAGTAACATGTTTACTCAGAGACATTTTAACTAACTTACTTTGTACTTTTATCTGGGAACATTTTTACACAGTGATTTTACTTCTACTGTAATAAAATGCCTTTTCAGTAACAGTAGCTAGAGGCTGGTCACCTGCTGAGGTGCTGCAGTCAGTGCAGTGTCTCATCTCTGGACTCTGGAGTTTCTGGTAGTTTATTGCTGCTCTTTCTGAACACAGTTAATGTTGCTGTTCTCTTCATCACAGTGTCTAACTACCTGCTGTACATTTAAAATTACATTAGTTCCTCTCCAGCACCCAGAGGTCTCTGCTCCTTTTAGCAACTTTCACGAATTCAGCTGTTGTTTACATGCTATTCAGACCAGCCAGTTACTTTAGCTCAGAAGTTTGCGCTGGCTTCTCTCTCTCGCTCAGTGTGTCTTGGATCAGCAGATGTACTTACACATCACAATCCTCTACAGTGAAGTTACAACAACACCACACTGTGATGAATATTACAAATTCAATGATGTCTGCTGTCTTACTTCGACACACAGCTCCGCTCATTAACCGGAGCTTCTCTAGTCTGTGGCCATTTGTGTACACAGCAGCCTTCAGCGTTGATAGGCTATTACTTGTGACATGTAACCAATCGGATGATGCTGTGGGCGGGAAACTGCTTCAGACCACAGAGTGCTGACTAGAGACTAGAGACAGGCGGCTGCATCAGAGACAAAGTAGCGCATTTTAGAATTAATTTAATTTATCAATTATGGTATTTAAAAAAATTATGATACCATGCCCATGCCTAGATCTGGGTCCTCATTGGAATGATCTAATATGACTTTACTCCAAACATAGTGCAAACAAGTTCACTCAAATATTGGTAGGGACAATTCTGTCCTCCCAAAATATTGGTAGGGACATGTCCCTACTGTCCATATGCAAACCTACACCCTTGGTCTAACCGCTCTGGCATAAGGCACTGATAGATGGCATGCTGCTCAGATGGGCGTCCTTCCAGCAGGTTCTCAATCTCTGCAGGTACACTGAGAGCCTTAGAAATTGTTTTATACCTTTGTCCTGATCTATGCCTCACCACAGTTTTATTAGAGAGAGAGAATTCCTTGGACTTCATGGTTTTTTTCCTGACATGTAGTGTGAATGGTCCCCAGATAGCAAAATGAAACTTCTGGCCCAACATATGCCTGTGTTGTCGGCCCAAGTCTGGCCCATATACTTCTACATCTGGCCACATTCAGCTGTTATCCTCTGGTGCTGTCTCACAGCCGCAAGATTTTCTGTGTGTGCAACAGAATTGGTCCAGATGTGGAAGTAGCATCTGCAAGTCATCCTGTATATGGGCCAGATTCAGGCTATGGAACCGGGTGTATACTGGGCCAGAAGAAAACAAGCATGTGGCCCAAGTATGGGCCGGATTAATTTTGTTATTTGGGTAGTTATACCGTTATTATAGTAACCAGGTAGATACACCGCTCAGTCATGTCAGTCAAGTCAATTTTTTTTGTATAGCGCAAATTCACATCATAAGTTATCTCAAGGCACTTCCCAGATAGAGCAGGTCTAGACCTTCTCTTTATAATATTATTTACAGAGGCGCAACAAGAGCAAGCGCTGGGCGACAGTGGAAAGGAAAAACTTCCTTTTAAGAGGCAGAATCCTCGTGCAGAACTGAACACAGGGTGGGCGACCATCTGCCTCGACCATTTGGGTTGGAGAGATAGAGAGAAAAAGAGAGCGAGAGAGAGAACAAGAGAGAGCACAGAGGAAAAGAACAAGAACGTGTAATGATAACAATATTAATAATAGTGATTGTAGTGGCTGTTTGTCCACAAAAAACAACAAAAGGTTTCAAATCAAACTCTAAATCATAAAAAAGTCAAAAGACCACTTCTGCACCGTGGGTTGTGGTGTACACGGATGGGAGAAACATAAGATCCAAACGACTGTCAAATTTCAACAAAAACGTGATTTATTTAATCAGACGAGCAAACACAGAACAAAGAAAAATTCCTGTGCCTCTCCCGCTCCGGTAAAAAACCATTTTGCCCACCCAGGTGCATGCTGGTCCCTACCGTGCGCTTACCTATATAACCTATGGTGCCTCCCTACCGTGCCCAAATGAAACAAACAAATAACAACAAAACACCCAAACTACAGAAATGATAAACTAACAGAATGCTAACAGAAATTTAATCATAATAAAATCAAAATAGAATAATGAAATCTAAACACTAAACTAAATAACACCAAATAGCTCCAACACTCCGGCCCCTAATTGTGCATTAAATCACAATTACTTTAATTTCTCAAAGGAGCTATTCACTCAACCCTAACCTATGACTAGACAGTCTATCACATTAGCTTCAGTTCACTTTCTTCTTTGTGATGAACCTGAAACAAAACAAAACGAGAGAGAGTGAGAGAGAGAGAAAGAGAGAAAGAGAGAGAGAGAAAGTCCATGGTGTCACACTCCTGCTTCCAGCAGCAGGCAGAGCTTTGTCACCGGCCTACAAAACAAAACGAGAGAGAGTGAGAGAGAGAGAAAGAGAGAAAGAGAGAGAGAGAAAGTCCATGGTGTCACACTCCTGCTTCCAGCAGCAGGCAGAGCTTTGTCACCGGCCTCTCCAGAATGCTGGTTCTTGTTCGAAGGCGCACAGAGCGCACCAGGCCCTTTGCATCTGCTCTCACATCCAAAATTTTCCCCATCAGCCAAGATCCTCTTGGGGCTGTGGCATCTGCAATGAGGACAATGTCTCCAGGAGTAAGACTTCTTCTCGGTCTTGTCCACTTCTGTCTCTCTTGCATCATTGGTAGATATTCCAAAATCCATCTCTTCCAAAAGAGCTCTGCCATGTATTGTGTTTGCTTCCACCTTTTCCTGATGTACAAGTCGCTGTGATCAAACAGTCCTGGTGGCATGACTGGCTTGCCCTTTAACGTCAGAATGTGATTAGGTGTGAGCGCCTCCAGGTCGTCTGGGTCATCAGAGACTTTTGTGATTGGTCTGTCATTCAATATGGCCTCAGCCTCACAGAAAACAGTATGAAGCCCTTCATCATCCAGAATTTGCTGTTTGAGAACTGAAGTGAGAACACTCTTCACTGAACGAATCAAGCGCTCCCACACACCGCCGTGATGGGAAGCTGCGGCTGTGTTAAAGTTCCACTTCATGCCATCCTGAACCAAAGCTCTCTGAATGTTTCCATGATTTAAACCACGCAGACTTTCTTTCAGCTCCCTGTTGGCTCCAACAAAGTTTGTGCCGTTATCAGACCT